CTTGGAATTGGGGAGTACGGATGTCATCCTAGGGATGAAATGGTTGCAGACCTTGGGGGAAACCAAGGACAATTGGGGAGCACTCACGATGGAATTAATGGTGGATGGGAGAAAGATGGTTATAAGGGGAGATGCAGGGCTATCCAAAGCCACGAAATCACTGAAGACCATGGTTAGGGATATACAAGAGGTGGGGGAAGATTATTTGGTGGGACTACACAAGTTGGATGTGATCAGAATGGAGGAAGGTGTAATATCCAAAGACTCAAATTTCTCAGGTATGCGCTTGTATTGTGTGAAACTTTGATTAGTAGCTATTTATTTAAAAGAAGGATTAATTAAAGATCAATTAGCTAATGGAATTATAATAATTAATTGAGTTTTATTAGGAGCCGAATAGATGCTTTTGGGGAGGAAACTATTGGAAGTCGGTTGAAGAGTGGGACCCACTTCTTTTCCTTATCTGGTAATCAATTCTCGGTAACTGCCGCTGGTTCAGTAAAGGAAATCAGAGAAATCCTAAAGCAATAGGCGGAGAAGCCTTGTAGCAAAGGGCGGAGAATTTCTACATAATAAGGAGGGCAAGGTGCGGAGCTTTTAACAGAGTATTCCTGTAGCAAATCCCTTGGAATACTTGAAAGGATTTCAGCCTGCATGCGGGCTGTAGGTGCTTGCGGCTGTAAATGTTTCGGCATTTGCTGAAAGCACTGTAAAAGGAACGATCAAGGGCCATCAATTCACAGAAATTCCTTGTGCAAACAGTGATTCTAAGGTCCAAAAGAATTCCGTATATTTCAGTGAAAGGGAGTTTTGTAGAAATTGTGAAAGAAGGAAAATAAATTGCAGGTACGTGAAATGATCAAATTTTTTTATGAATTGTAGTGATGTGATTATGCAAACTAGTTGAAGGAATTATGAATTAAGGTGGTAGCTTGGAGAAGAGAGAAAGGAAGAAGAGAAGGAAAGAATAAAGGAAAGAAAGGAAGGTAAAGGTGAGAAGTATACTATTAACCTTCATCTTTTATGTCACCTAAATTTAGTAATATTTCTAAAAATGATAACCTAATTGTATGGTACGTAGGATTATTCATAGATTTATGCAGAAAGAAAGCTTTGGGTTTGTGTATCAAAGGAGGAGACTTCGTGGTGTAGGTTTTGAAGAGATCAACAATCAAAGAGGTAAATTATGTAATTAATTATAGTTGTAATCATCATGAATGGTTAATTTATCCTTTATGTTTTGAAAATCTATTATGAAGAGATACGGTATGAGAAATTGTTTAGTCATCATGAAGGTATATTAAAGTATTCACAACTTTTTACCCATGATGACAAGAAAGATTTGATAGATGTTTAAATGTACTTATCTCAGTCTTTTCTTAACTGATAATTTTATGCAAAGAAGTTTCTATTTCAACTTAAGTAGATACTAAATTCATGATACACCAAATGTATAAGTATAGGCAAATTTTGAAGCTTATGATCATTAAAATCAGATATGTACTATGAAGGTATGAAATAAGAAATATCAAATTAAAAGTAAAGATTGGCTATATTATGATGAAATGATGTCTACAATATCAGGTGGGCAAAAGGGACCCAAATTACTAAGCCTGTTTTGTAGAGGGGGGCAAAAGGGACCCCAAAAGAAAAAGAGACCTGCATAGCAGGCGGGGCAAAAGGGACCCCAATGAGGCAAAAGGGACCTCAAGGTAATTCAATGGCGATAATGCCAGGGTAGCCTGGGCTCCATTGAATATTGTTATGTAATTATAGCCAAGTCTTTTACATATTTAATTTTTGATATTCAATATAACTTCGAAGAGATAATTAAAAATACTAATTAGGATTTATGATGTTGTTATCATTAAAATGTGAGTTTAATGCTTTATGACTTCAACATTTTAATTTATTCTCTTCTTGTATTATAACTGTTATTTAAATTACATAATTTACGGGGCCTCATAGCTTACCAGTTATCTTTTACTGGCTGTTTTTACAGGAAAAGGGAAATGAAAAGTGGAAGAAGTTTGATATGCAAGTATTTAAGTTTTATATAAATGTTTATTTAATTGTGGTAATCTACTCTTAAGGTTAGTAAAGAGGTTTTAATGTTATTTTACTTTGAATTGTTTTAGGATTTCGTTAGTGGCTCTGTACAAAATCTTTGATGTGATAAAATTTGAGGAATTATTAGATGCTTCCTTTGTTATTCCAAATGATGTTATATAATCTTTTAATTAGATATGATTGAATTCAACAGAACTCAAAGGTAAATGATGGAAATGACATGATTATTATTGTTGCACTCTGCAATACAGTCTAGTTCTATTGTGGGGTGTTACAGAAGGAGATGTTTCTCTTTCCATGCAGCCCTTGGTTCAGCAATACAGTGAGGATTTTCAGTCACCTCAAGGATGGCCACCTCCGTGGGAACACGAGCATATTTCCACCTTGAGGACAAGGTGGATCTTTGGGAGGGGAGTATTGTTAGACCGGTCCAGCCGGTCCAGGCGGGACCGGTTCACGGGCAAAACCGCAAAACAGCAGAGAGAACTCCGCCTGTGCGGGATGCCACGCGAGCCGCTCATCTTGCGGGACTGTT